CCCGGGCGCCCCCGGCCCGGCCGTGATGCCGAGGCGAAAGCTGCCGTGCCGCAGCGGAGGTGTGCTGGTCTGGGCCGCGGCTGTGGGGCTGGACAGCGGGCGGGTTCGGTCCTCGCGTGCCCTGCTTCGCAATCTGGCACGGTACGGCTTGGGGTAACGTCTTGGACTGTGAGGTGGCCGACTAACGCGCTCGGCTCAGCTGGGTAGCCCAACCGAAGTGCACTTTTGTTCTATCTGGCTGGCAAACTTGGCTTGCCAGTGCCTACCCTGATAGCAGTTCAGTCGCCTGCCCCCCTGCTAATCCTGCTGCTTATTGTTAGTTAGCTAAAACCCAAAGTAGGTTTGGTAATGGGGGGAGAATGAACATCAGTGCAAATCCAGGTGTTTCCCTCCAGCTGGGTGCTTAAATCAATGCTACAGTATTGAGGCCGGGGCTTGCTGCAGGTGCCGGCTTTCAAATGACAGAAATCAAAGTTGCAAGCAGCTGTTGAATCCTATGGCTGTGGATTGTTTATTTTGTGCAGGACGAGAAGAAGGAGTTAGCTGTCCTGATTTAAATTGCAGTTTTGAATTTTCACATTTGACTAACTAATCCCTCTTGCGGTATCGATTAGAGTTCTTCATTTCCTGTCCTACAGTTGTTTATTTTACAGCACTTCGTCCTGCATTGGTTCAGCATCTCTTCTCGTGGGAATCCCCTTGCAAAGTTCCCCTTCTGCCTCTGTCTCGGAGAATTATGCACTTCACCATAAGACCGCATAGCTTTCACAAAATCCTTTCTTCTCATGCAAAACACCGTTGCAAAGAATTAAGATCCAGTAACAGAGAGGGCAAATCACAGTCAGTTTTCATACCTCCTCACCACAAGAAACAAAGTTCTGGTAGTAGGGTATGGTGCAGTGTACTTAAACGCTAATGTAACAGTAACAAAACACGTGGTTTTCTTACAGCCTGTCAGTTGTGTCTTTTCTGTTACCTGTCACTTAGAACACACGGCTGAGCAGAACCGCTGCTGACCCTACAGACAGATGCAAATCTTGTGCCTCACCACGGAGTAGTCGGTACCATCTGTACGACAGAGTGCTCTGTAATTCTCGGCATTTCACTGACTTTGCTGCGAAATTCAATCAAAACAAACCAACCCTGTAACCCTTATTTTTATGCTGGGAGCCTTCCAATAGTGGATAGCATAAGGAGTATTTCCTCTGGGGCAAATAACCTGAAGGTGGTTCTGAAGGAAAAACCCTTTTAATATAATGAGGGTGTTAACTGAAAACAAAATATGGCCATTTAAAGGCACTGTAGCTAATTATTCCATTGCTAAACTTTCAGAAGAAGCATTTTCCAGAGTTCCTGCTCTCAGGTCATTTGTCCAGAATCCCTTTGTCTTGCAGTGCGGAAACAGGATTTTTGAATGAAATTCTACAATACACAGAAAATAGAAAAATAAATTAATTTTAGGAAGAAATAATTATTTCATATTTGGTTAAATAAACCCCCCAAATTTCTCCATTTAATTTGGGTCTGCAGCAAAAATCTATTTTTCCATATCCATCTCACTAAATTTATTATGAATCTTCTGTTAAGAAAACAAAACACTACGTGCAGATGATGTGGCTCATC